CTAAACTCTAAACCCCAAATCCCAACCCTCAAGCCTAAACCCCGTAATCTGAATCCCTGAACCCTTAACCCCTAGTAAACCCCAAATTCCCAACCCTAAGCCCTAGCACCTATATCCCTGAACCCTCATACCCTAAACCTGAACCCGGGAACCCTAAACCGCAAACCCTAAATCCTAAATAGCTAAATCCTAATCCCTAAATCCTAATCCTTAAATCCCTAAACCCTACACCCAAATCCCTAAACCCAAATCCCTAAATCCCTAAACCCCAAATCCCTAAACCCCTAAAGTCGCCGAGCCTGGCAGGAGGCGGTCGGGGCCGGGCTGGGCGGGGCCGGAGAAGGCCCCGGAGGCGTCGGCCCTCGCCTGGGTCTCAGGTTGGGTGGGCTTGGGGTTTAAGGTTTGGGGTTTAGGTTGGGTGGGTTAAGGGTTTAGGGTTTAGGTTGGGTGGGTTCAAGGGTAGGTTGGGTGGGTTAAAGGTTTATGCTTTAGGTTCAGTGCGTTTAGAATTTATGGTTCAGGTTTGGCAGATTTTGGGTTAGGGGTTTAGGTCCGGTTTGAGTTTGGGAAATAGGGAATCTTACCCGCAACAATCGAGAATCAGGTACGGACAATCTTATGGAAACTGACATGATGGGTTTATAGGGCTCGGGGTGTAGGGTTTAGGGCTTAGGGTTTAGAGTTCATAGTGCTTGGGGCTTATAGGATTTGGGATTTAGGGTTTAGGTTTCAGGTTTAGGGCTTATAGAGTTTGGGTCGGATGCATGGGCGTAAGGTATAGGGTTCATGGTGTTGGGCTTTTTGGGTTGGGGCTTGGGGATAGCACGGGCTCTTAGTTCTGTGACCGTATATACCTAATATGTACCTATGGTTACCTATGTACCCAATTCTACAACTGATGTTGTCATGACGAGCATCAGTACTAGTGTTTGTATTAGTATTAGCAGTAGAAGAGGATTATTGGTATCAGTATTAGTACTGGCACTACAACTACTAGTTTCTTGCTCTTACTAGTGCTGTTACATTGACTATTAAGGTGAGCAACTTGCGTTGCCAAAGCCCTGACAAGAATCCTGGACCACCCCGGAGAAAAATGAAAAAGCGGTTCTGGGCTTACATTTCGGATGCTATACCCGCGATGTCGGCTAGTTGAGAGTTTAGGGTTCAGAGTTTCGGGTTGAGGGTAACGAACATTTTTAGATACTAGCGTGGCGCAACCTGAGCTGATACCATTGCGTGGCTTGTTTGTGTTAAGTGATAATAAAGACATGGGGCTCTTGATGGTACCTAAGGCTTTGCGAAGATTCCGGGCTACACACCGGACAGTAGCGCAAGAGTGCAATCTACTTGTTGCTCAACCGTAAGCCCTGAACCTAGTAAACGCTGACCTCCAAAAAAACCTGGACACTGAACCCCCACCCCATGAGGCCTATAAAACCCTTCCTGAACCTCAGAAGGATGAACATTCCTGTAAAGATATTCTTCACATTAGTATACATCCGAAACTATTCGAAGCCTCATTATGGAGACCCCCAAAACGGATCCCTAATTTTTACACCCCGGAAAGCCCTAACCCCCCCCAAAAAAATCCCTTACCCTAAGGGTCCAAGTACCTAATAATCATATGCTTACCCGAAACCTGTACTATAATTACTATTATACCCAAATCCCAAGTACCTAATAATTGGGTACATGGACCCTAAACCCTAAACCCCCTATAGACCCCTATAGATCCCCTTAAAGGGGTTCGTGGACCCTGTGGGTTACATGCCAAAGGTGGCCTGGAGCACGCGGAAGCGAAATCCTCCACTGCCGCGAGCTTCCAAACCTCGGCAGATAGGGCTTAGGGTTTAGGGTTTAGGGGTCTAGGCAGGTACAGGAATGGAAAGGATAATGGAAACTACTATATATATATATACAGGAATGGAAAGGATAATGGAAACTACTATATACATATATATATATACAGGAATGGAAAAGATAATGGAAACTACAATATTATTGTCAGTTCCGGGTTTAGGGTCAGGGGACATAGTATATAAGTAGGTTTGTAACCCCTTTAACCGCTGTCTAGGGCCGTTTCCTTGGAGATATGCGCCCCCCTTTGCACGTCTGGGCAGTGATTGCTGGGGAGGGAGGTTCACCTTCTGGCTCATCTCAATCCCTAAGGGTCCAAGTACCTAATAATCATAATTAGGTCCCTTTGAAGGGGATACACCGGGATATTTAGGGTTGGGGGTTTAGGGTACTTAATAATCATACACTTACCCCAAACCTGTCGCCGGGACCCGCCTCAACTCCCGGAAACGTCCTCCCGGCCGCCCCATTCAATGGGGCCAGGTGGTTGGCCCTGCAAACATCTGGCACGGCTGCAAACACTGCCACTGCTGCGTGCCGTGTGCCAGTGCTAGCAACCCAGAATGTCAGGTAACCCCAGTTATCCTAATCACTAACCTAATAACTAAGTCCCCATGACCCTCCAGGTAGGTAGGTACAGGGAGCACTTACAATTTGCGTTTTGCGGGTTGGGGTTTAGGGTTTACGGGTTTAGGCACAGGGAGGGGCCCCTAAGGTACAACGGGGGTGAGGAGTACAGAAACCCATACTGGAGACAAGTGCCCAAAGTTATAGTCACAAGATTGAAAAATATGATTATGCACCTCCCGGTATCCTACAATTCACTGGGGCCACCTGTAAATGGTGGTTCAGCTTCACGTGTTCGATGTTTAGGGGGGCTCGGCGATGATATATGTTGTGGTCCTATAGTCTGCCGTGCTAGTCTCCATAAAGCTACCTGAAAGACGTCCCTGGTCCTGGTTCCTAGTGAGCTATATCTTTAGCCCTTTGCCACCCTTCGAAAAACTCTGGAAAACACGGTGAGCCTTTTGTTAGGATTTCAACAAGCAACAACAAGAAAAGTGTTGCTAGAAACTTCTGCCAATAGCTTGGGTTTTGAGTCGAGTGTTCATGTTTGCGCCAGCTCCTTGAGCAACATAGACTTTAAAGGCACAGCAGCAAACGTGAAGCTAGTGAAGCATGAGGTGGACATGTGCCAACAACAGTCATGGAACATGCTCGTAAAGTTCGCCCTGCTAGAGAAGATGGTGACCCCAGCATCTCGACGTTCGCATTCAAAGTCTACCTGAACACCAAACTTATGTTTAAAAAAAACCTTTTAGGCTATTCTTAATGGTTTTGTGCTATCACGTTTACTCACTTTTGGGGGTCCAGGTAGGGTCTGTGGTTCTCCCACGCTTTTGCAGGGAAAGACCCTGCACAAGCGGCGAGACTCCTGCAACACTGCAAGGCACAACATTCATACTGTTAATCCTAATAAACCTGTATGACCTTGTGGGGCTCTAGTACCATAGTTCCCAAGGTTCCCTAATTAGTTTCCTGCAGGATTTTGGGTTATCCACGGTATCAAATCTCACGTAAATTTTACCCACGGAGCCCAACCTCCCTCAACTAAGGAATATTGAGTCAGACTCGGAATCCTGGTACCATTTAGTATATCCCTTACTGGACTTTCTGCGTACGAGAACCCAAGCAAAGCAAAACTAACACCTGAACAGCAGACCCAAACCTTAAGCCCTAAATACTGAACCCTATTGGTTGCTGTTTGTCCGGTTGCGGGGTTCCTTCCGCGTTCCTGGCAGCTCGGGAAGAGGGTGCAGGGCTTGCAGGAAATGTCTTACCGAGCCCGACCACACCGCAGAGAGGATTGTTCTTTTCAAAAGAGGTTGCTCCCGGGCCTGCATAGACGCGAGATTTTCTTACAACCTAGCTCGGATACATGTTTATAGCAAACCCTAAACCACGAAAAGCGCAGAATCCCCAGGCATCATCCATAAAGCAACCCCGACCCCGACCTGTTAGACTAGAATTCCGAAGCACCCATAATAACAGTCTTCAACACTGAAATAATGGGTCGGGTTTAGAGCCCGAAATAAGCCCATCATCCGCAAAGACTAAACCCTGCAGATCGAAATGGCCTAATGAAGGCGACAGTTACAGACTTTACGGCCCAATGCAGGTCTTATTTGGAAGTTTAGGGTTCAGGTGCCCCTGAAATGTAGGGGCCTAAAGGATAACAAAAGGGCTTCAGTATGCAGCGTGCTGTAGCTCATTGTAGAAAGGTGAGAAAGGAACAACTTTCAAGGCTTCCCCATTGTGCCTCCTCTATTAGGGCTTAGTTGCCTTCTTACACAAGCTACATGCAGCGGGTGAGGTGACCCTCCTTCCTCGCCCTGAAGCCCCCAAGTAGCTGCTTAGCGGCGTAGTGCCCGCTGTCATCTACTCCAGCACAGGCAGACAAGAGGACCTGCGCGTTCTCGTGGTCTGTCCTTACGCTGAACATCTTTTTGCGGAAGCAGAGCCGTGCACACATGCAGTTGGGGTCCAAGAATCATGGGGGCTTGCAGAACATTGTCCAGAACCTTCAATAGTATCAACACTGCAAATAAATAACATGCAAGGGGTACCTGTCCAACCACCCTTATGTCGAAGCCAGTGGGCAACATGGAAACATGTCAAGGCGGTTTCACAACCCCTTGTCATTCAGCGTTTGGACAAGGCTGGCTGATGTTGGCGTAGTCTAAACTCCTAGTATCCCACTTAGTATCCCCCATGCTACTCCCCTATATAATCCCCTATAAGGAATTTAGACTATAGCAAATGTAGGGTTTAGGGTTCAGGTTTGGACCCTTAGGTTCTTATCCTGGGGTCCTGGGGCTCGAGACTCTGAAGGTGGCTCTTAAACCCTACCCCACAAAGTCCCTAAACCCGAAACCCTAACCCTAAACCCTAAAACCCTAAAACCCTAAAACCCTATTCCCACTATATATCAATATACCACATTGGGAATACTGAATATTAGCGGCGGGGGGTTTGCGATATCGGGAGATGTGATTGATCTTATACTGTTTAAGCTCTATGCCAACGTGCAGATCAACATTCCCCCAGAGCCCAGCAGGGTGAAATAGTAGCATGGTCTTTGCAGCAAGAGCGTAGGAACCCCAGAAAGTCCAAAGAACTAGCCTTTTTGTGGTCATGCATACCCAGTCAAGTGGGGGCTGAAATCACTGGAATACCCTCCCTCAAACTAATTTGGCACCTGAAAGGTGCCCTATATAGACTGCTATCCTCGAAGGGGCTCATTTCAGGTTCCATGTTAACTTGGGGGAGGGTAGGGTTTTGGGGTACAGTGTGTACTAGTTTGACAAGAACTTACGTCCTAATAGTAAAACTCGGGCAGCATTTTGAACTCTTATGGTTCCTAAACGACATAAACATACGCCCTCCTGCAGCACTTGCTTGATCAGGTATAGCTAGCCATTGCCTAGCGGGCTCAACGCCCAGCATTCGACAACTATAGGAAGTGTGACCCTAAACCCTATAAGCCCTAAGAGCCAAACACTAAGCGGTTCAGAAGGGGTGCTTGTGCAGTTTAGGTTGATGGCTGCAAGACGCTGTGCGCATGTTGCGAAAACAGCCAGGCATTAGTGTGTCTTCTCCCGGTTTAGGGTTTGGGGCTCTTCTGACCCTGGAAGGTCCTAGTTCGTACAATAGTTGCCGCCAAGAGTCTCATAAACGGAAAAGTTTGACCGCTTCAGCGAATCGACAACATCCTTAGCTTTCGCCTCATTGACCCACAATCTTAAGCCTGTAATCAAACCTAATCCCCGTAATTCTAAGTCCAAGCCTTTAACACCAAACTCGAATCGTGACTCCCAAATCCTAACCAAAAGCCCTTGGACCCTCTGAACGCTAAACCCTAGGCCTAAAATCACCAGTCAGATTTGCAAGGCCATCTTTCGTTGAATGAGACACGAGCACTCCAATCCCTAAACCTTAAGCCTAAAACTGAAAACCCCAAACCTTAAACACCAAGCCCTAGACACAAAACCCCTAAACCATATCCCAAGCCCCAAACCTTAGAATCTTGACTGAACCCTGAAACCTTTCAAAACCCTTCAGGGTTTAGGGTTTAGGACCCTAGACCATGCAGGGTAGGTGTTGTCTCACGGCGTTGTGCTACAAGGCATGGACTATCACATGGACAAGCACATTGAAAATGAAATGGAGACTGCATGGCCTTATGTAGGGGTTTGTATGTAAAATTGTTCACAATTTGATTCTAGATTCCTTGTCTTATGTCTTGTTCTGCAAAGCTACTTTCAGCAAGAAAGGCAGTGAGAAGAACATGGAAAACGACTGTGGTTCTACGCGGTTTAAAAGCGTTCGTACCAATACAACAACACATGAAAATCAGACAGAATGTCAAGTGGTAACCCTTCGGTCCCTTTGTAAGGGATATAGGGATACACATATATATATATATATATGTTACAAGGGTTTATATAGGGTTAGATCGAGCATCACATGAAAAAGAAAACTACAAAAGAAATGGAAAGTGGGGATATGTAGGGTTTCGGGCTTTGTGGTTCCTACCTCTGGCTAGGAAGGACGAAGGAAGGAACGCATTTTTCTACTCGTCCTCATATAATCCCCAATTATATGGCAGCTTCCATTTCCTAAACCCTAAACACATTCCTTAATTCCCCGCTAAGCACCACAAAGGCTGAGGTGCATTTAGATTCTTGCTCTTTTGCAGCTGCTTCTGCATCACTTGCAGCGGCTCCTACACTTGCGGGTCGTGGTAGGATACGTGAGTTTAGGGGCTTGGGGCTTTTGGGGTTTAAGGTTTTTGATTTTGGCTTGGGAGTTCGCGTCTACAGCAGGAATGGGGCTCAAGATGAAAGAGCTATAAGCAAGGGGGTGTAAGGGCCCATATATATATATATATATGCACTAGGCCCCAGGAAGCCAAAATGAAACTCTATGAACTGAGTTCCCAGAGGCCTGAGGTCCTGATACTGCATACTGTATACTTGGTGCCGAGCATACATGCATAGAGGCCGTTTCAGCCCCCATTGCATACTGCTATAGGGATTTTTGGATCGTCGTTGGGTGAGGCATCAATGCAGGCGGTTGTGGTTGGGTTTATGTAAGTTTTAAGGGGTCGGTATCCCTAAGGGCTTTCTCCAAAATGATTCGCAAGGATCCTAATATGGCCCTTGTGGGAGCCCGTAATCCCATGGTTCAATATGCGTTACACACCCATTCTTCTGTCTTTGCATCTGGGCATGTGGTGGGGTTCAATGTTAGTTTGGGGGAGCGCACCCTCAATCCGAAACCCGCCCTTACATTCCTTTGACCCGACCCTAAGGGTCCAAGTACCTAATAATCATATACTTACCCGAAGCCTGTACTATAAACTATAATCACTATTACCCAAAACCTAAGTAACCATGTATTGGGTCCTGGGACCCTTTCACCCGACATCCCTGCAAAGATAAGCAGGCAGAGGGAGCGCTGACAAGGCTTACTGTGAAGAAGTGAGGTTGCTGTTTGCTTGAACTGTTTAGGGTTCAGGGTAGGTTTAGGATTTAGGGTTTAGGGGTTTAGGGTTTAGGGTTTAGGGGTTTAGGGTTTAAGGTTGAAGTTAGGGTTAGGGTTCCAGGGTGTAAGCTAAGGATTTAGGGTTGAACTTGAGGTGGGAGGTTTTAGGGTTTTAAGTTTAGAATTTAGGATCCAGTTCCAGGTTTAGGTTCAGTAGCTCCACGCCTATGAGGAGATAGGGGATTCAGAGTTCGGGGTATGGGGCTAACCGCTCACGAAGCTTCATAACTTGCACCTGGCGGGTGAATTTGGGGTCAGGTTGGAATTTCAATTTTTCGATGTCTTGCCATCACCACTGCCACAGCCGCCACCGCCTGGCACCCGCCGCTACCACTGAACCACCGCCGCCACCACTTTCCAGTGCTTGCGGATGTAAAGCATTTAAAGAATATGGGCCATATCATGCGTTGAGCAATGCAAGGAGCCCTTGTAAAGCCGCATGAAAACCACTACATCCAAGCCCGAACCAATCAAAAGAAAACCGAAAGAAAACATGAAGATTTGCAAGTGAACATGCAGCAGGTTGCCAAATTTATGGCTTCCTGTGGGTTACTCTATATATTAGGGGCCGCAATATAATATCGACCCCATAAGGGACCATGATTTTGACAACCTACCGCATAGAAATGGTAGTCTCCCAAAACGGGGAACCCCAATATGGACCCTAAACCTACATATCCCTATTTCCCCCTATATAACGCCTTTATGCCTCTATAAGCTCCTTATGTCCGTATTTAGACTCATAAAAAAGACCCCAATATAGACCCTAATATCTTATAGCGAGTCCTTATTCTAAGGGCTCCCTACCAAGGACACAAATCTTGGGAAACCCTAAACCCTGTCTCTCCCTCTATATATCTTCATATACCCCTATATAACCCCTGTAATACATACCATAAATATGAACTTATGTTGCATTGGCGCCTCGCCATCCACGCTGCAACGTTCGCGCAGCTCGGTGCCTGACGTGCCAAGCTATGGACCCTCTGCTCCAAATGTTTAGGGTTTCGGGAGTTTTCAGGAGGGGAGTTACCAGACAGTTACCCTTCCATAAGTATAGGGGCTACGTGAGGCTTTTTCTTGGGAAAACTACCACCTGACAATTCCTCAGACAATGAGCATGGCAGGCTCACATTCGTGACCCGTCGGACTTGAATCACTAAACCTCAAATCTCAAGTTGCGCCCTTCCATGTGTGTTTTTCTCAAAATGGAGCCTCCTCTACTTAAACTATACCCCCCACAGAAATTTTTCTTTTTGTCTCACCAGAAGAAGACCCCACGACACATAACTTCGAGAAACCCTCAACTATAAACCCTGCGCTGGAATTTATGAAAAAGCGAAACCACACATACGCTACCCTGGCACCTGCGCCGTTGAATGAGGCGCACACACTTCCCACGGATCACGGCCTCTGCGCTAGGGTTTAGGGTCTGTTACTTGGGGAGTCACGGTTGAGTGTTTAGGTTGTCACGCTTTGTTTATAGGGAGAGGAGGAATGGGCCATGAAGAGTGCTAATAATACTAATAATAATAATAAATAATGGCAGATATAGATTTAAAAACGAAATACTAAGAATAATACATACGTAAGAATATCACTAGTAGAACTGTTATTATTACTACCTTTGCTATTATTGCTATTACTGTTAAGGTAAGTTCCTTCTCTGAATTCCCTCAGACCTGGTAGCCAAAGGCAAGGTTGAGCCTTCAACGCATGGGAAGGAAAGCAAGAACTACTGGGTTTAGGGTTTAGGGTTTATGTTTACTTACTGGGGGTTTGTATGGAAGAAGGGAATATGTTATATGGGGATGAGAGAGGGATTCCGTTCCCCTATTCCCTACTAACTCCGAGTAAGCTTCTGGTTCATTATGTTGTGCTTGTCCCTGAGTTTTTTTCGTGTGTACTGTGTGGGTTAACGTTTTGAAAATTAACTTGGAGCTTTCGGGCTTCGGGCTTTTGAGAGTTTAGGGTTGAGGGTTCAGGGTTTGAACCGAACGCAAGGCCGTAAACCGTCATCCCTCGACCAGTCTCGAAACCCTAACCCTAAAACCTCCAACCCCCCTAACCCTCAGCATGACCTTAATCCCCAAGCCCCTCGACCCAAGACTCTCATTCCTAAACCCTACACCCCAAAGCCTCTTAAGGAAAAACCTGCCTGCAGCATACACACCGCGCGATTCTGGAGCATCTTCTCCGCATCCGCCCGAGTTTGCTGGAGCTGCGCCTTTTTGTGGGGGATGGGTTAGGTGGACCCCCCACCCACTAATAGTGACTATTATGGATAATAAGGATTACATCAGGGTCCTCTTATATTCCTATTATACCCCTAAACCCTAAACACTAAACCCTAAACCCTAAACCCTATCCTATCTTACCACTCTTACAGGATAGGGGGTTCCTCCTAAGGGATGGGAGCTTTTTCCCGGATGCTCCTCTGCCCCTATCAGATTTTCAGGCTCTGAGGTGAAGGTTTTGGGGGTTATGTAGGGATTATCTAGGGGTTATATTAAGGACTATTTTTGGGTTTAGGGTTTAGGGTTTAGGGGTTATATTAAGGACTATATTTGGGTTATATAGGGGTTATATTAGGGTTATATTGGGGTTATCTAGGGAGTATATGATGGGTTTTGGGGTTTAGGGTTATGGTTTTGAAAGTTTTTGCATGTTGGGGGCTAGAGACGCTGGGGACTCGGGCACGTAGAAGTGTTCCGTTAGTGGTAGTGAAGATGCATCGCAAGGCATACCCATTTGCTGTAAGGTTTGCATGACACAATTGTGAACGTAAGGGCGCTTTAGGTTCTGGGGTGCAGGGAAAGAGCCCCCAACCACAAAACCCGGCAAAACGCACGCAGATCATCATGAACCCCCAGCTCGAACCTTACACACTCAGCATGTGCCCCGAAACTCTAAATTAGCAGCCGCCGAAAGCCCAGAACCTACACCACGAACCCCAAAACGCCGGAAACCCACAGACGAGGCTGCATATAATCCGATCCAACCAATCTAAACAAAACTCCTAGAATTCCTTCCATAAGCCTTAGAGCCAGGCACAAATTCGTACAACCCGCAAACTTTAGCAACCCACAGCTCTAAGCCCTTGACCCTACTTGGAGGCCCATGGGACTTAGTAACTACAGCCCAGTTATAAGTGATTACTAAATCCCATGGGCCTCCAAGTAAGCTCTAGAAACCCTAAACTCCCCAAACCCTAGAAACAGTAAACCCTAGAAACCCTGACCCCTAACCCCTGAACCCCAACGCCTAGAAACCCTAAACCCTGAAGCCATAAACCCTAAACCCTAGACCCTAAATCCCAGACCCTTAAACCCCTAATCCTAAACCCTAAACCCATAAACTCTAAACCCTTAAACCCTAAACCCGAAATCCCAGACCCGCCTTAAATCCTAGGCAGCCCCGCACCTGAATTTGCGATTCTGTCTCCCGCAACTTTTCTAACCTCTCGCGCTCCTGGGCCCCGAGGAGCTTGCCTGCAGTTTAAGCTTTGAGGGTTTAGGGGTTTAGGGTTTAGGGGTTCAGGGTTTAGGGCTTTAGGGTTTAGGGGTTTAGGGTTTAGGGGTTTAGGGTTTAGGGGTTTAGGGTTTGGGGGGGCTCAGGATTTGGGACTTTGGGAGTTGAGGTTTAAGGTTTGGGGGTTGGGGTTTGGAGTTTAGGAGGTTGGGGAACCTGGGTGACGGTTTCAGGGTTTAGAGCTGAAGTACGGGAATTAATACTTTCAAAGGTCCTATAACCAACCCTAGACCCTAAACCCATCCCTTCATCCCTGCCAACCACCAAGTTCAGGTTTGAGGGTTTGCGGCTTGTAGAGCTTCAGCTGCTGCCGTACAGATTACGGGTTAGGTGCCGTGAATTTGGCAGTTCAGGTTTTTGCTATTTAGGGTTTAGCGCTTAGGGTTTAGGGTTTAAGGTTTGGGACCTAATGTTTGTGGGGTTTACAGCTTAGCTTGGACATTATAAGTTTTCAGGAAGCTGGGACGACGTATCATCTCTTCCCTCGATGGTACACAAACACTACTCCCTGTAACATCCTGTAACTCAATACGACGCATTGCGGTATTGCAATCCTAGGCCCAAGCGCTAAATCCTTAACCTGCCACCCAAAATTCTGGAATACATTCAAGCTCACAGACGAAATCTCGTCCAAAGAGCACACGAAGC